CTGCCACTTTGCTTGTGTCACGTGGATCTGCCACCAACACATTGTACACAACACCGAGGCCTGGCCGTGACAGGAATGTGCGCTTGTGATTGTTGTGGAAGACAAAGTTCTCCGATCCCACCTGCAGTGTAAGCACACCATCACAGACACCACCATGTAGAGGCACACGCAGGCACAGACGTGTACTCATGCACATACGCCAGTGCACATGCGCACGCACGCACACACACACACACACACACACACACACACACACACACACACACACACACACACACACACAGAAACATGAGAATCACAGAAATACAGTGACACGAGTTTCAAGGAGAGAATTGAATAGAAATACAGGCACGTAGCCCGCATGGCGCACAGGGGGGGGGGGGGGGGGCACTTGCACCCCCCCCCCAAAAACTTCGACCTCAATTCAGCATGCACATAATGACCAGGAATAACATGCATCAGCCATCCTACGCATATGCGGCCGTGCACCCCCTTAAAAGGGAGACCAGCTACGACCCTGGAAATAACTACTAGTATATGCCCCATTTGACCATACAAAGAAACACTTGAAGATCCAAATCAAGACCATACATCTTCATAAGCACTGACCTTGGTGGCATGTTTGGTGATATTGGCCACTGTACTCATGCGATCCAGGCCCTGCATCATAGTATCACGGTCATACTTCCCATAGTCTAGTTCATACTTGTAGACGGTGTAGGTAAGGGCTGATACTAGTGAGTGACCATAGGAGCTATCGCAGTAGCCAGGTGTGCCTTGTTCAACACTATAACCGATATTAGCAGGCTGTGGGGGCAAAACACAAACAAACAAGGCCGTACATACATACCATGCACACATGCACACACACACATGCACACATGCACACACACATGCACACACACATGCACACACACATGCACACATGCACACACACACATGCACACACACACATGCACACATGCACACATGCACATGCACACACACATGCACACACACACATGCACACACACACATGCACACACACACACATGCACACATGCACACATGCACACACACATGCACACATGCACACACACATGCACACATGCACACACACATGCACACACACACATGCACACTCACACACACATGCACACACACATACCATGCACACACACACATGCACAATCACACACACATGCACACACACATACCATGCACACATGCACACACACATACACACACACAGCAAACCAAATCGACAGGCTGTAGATAGGCAAAAGACAGACACATACGCTTGAACAGATGGGTGGATGGACACACTAGGAGTGTTAGGAGGTAACTATGGTGAAATTCAGGATACAAACTGAAAGGCATCATGTGGCATAGTGGTCCGAAGCACTGTAGTTGGTTGCAAGTCTAGCATATCAATTACAATGACGATTAATGGCCTGTCTTTCTCAGCTTGCCCTGATCGTGAAGTACATGATTCCAAACTCCAACTTTGAGGTCCATACAACATTTTCACCTATTATTCAGTATTATAATGGAGAACCCCTCGACAGGCTACCTGCCTATGGGTCATCCCTCAAAATATTTTCAGGGATCATATTATGATGACAAGCCCCCGGGGAGCTTTGACACTCTTGATAATGTATTTGAGGGATGATTAACACACTGTAGACGGGAAGCCTGTTGAGAGGTTCTCAATTTCCACGATGTTGAATGGGGAGCTTTTAATGGTGGGGGTGGATAGATCAGATCCACCAACCAAAGGCCAAAGGCGCAAATCCCATTTGCCACGTCCATGCAAGCTATCATTAAATGTTGGGAAACGGTGACCCAACAGTGCAACAGCAGTTGGGAATATACTTCATGAACTCGCTACAGTGAGGGGGGGGGGGGCAATGGTTATCTCGTCTACCTCATAAATGTTACATCCCCATGTAAAGTCAGGCACCCCCTATCAATGAGTCACTAGTGTGTGGCAGTAATTCTTAACTGAAACTGGCAAACAAATGTTCACCCTCACATTTGGCAGGTGAACACCCTGAACATGTTTCCAACCATGCACTGCTCGTGGTAACCATGGTGACGATACTCACGTAAAAATCAATTTCACTGCGAAATCCTGTGTAGGATACGCGTAGTGTTGGATCAACGTCTAAACTGCATGTCATGCAGCATCCACCCGGGATAGGCACTGATGGTCCATAAGGAACAGCCTGAACTCGCACAGTCTCCTCGTCACTAGAATCCAACGTCGTACTACTGTCTCCGGCGCCTGACAATGCACGTACAACAAACAACACACTGATGTTCAATACAAGGTAGATAATTCACCTCATCACGGTGTGGTTGGTGTTTGGTGGGCGACACAATGGACTACTCACACTCAAAGACAGTAGCTTAGGGCCATCAGACATGATGTATGCCCCTGGAGCAGTGGCTTAGGGTCATCAGACATGATGTATGCCCCCCCCCCCCCTGGGACAGTGGCTTAGGGCCATCAGACATGATCTTTGCCCCTGGGACAGTGGCTTAGGAAGTTAGGGCCATCAGACATGATGTATGCCCCCCCCCCCCCCTGGGACAGTGGCTTAGGGTCCATGCAGTACACCATGGTTATGCAGGCCTATTGCCGTTTCACTACTCCGAGACTGTAGCAATTTCCCAACACAGTGATAGTGTACTTTTGAGGGGCCTTCATGCATGCAATGCATCCTGCACAGTGGTGACCCAAGTCATGCATTGTATTCAAGTACAGTGGTGCTGTCGATTTTGAAATGGAGTGGCCAAAGCGTGAAGGAGGGAGGGTGGTGGAAGTGTGTGTGTGTGTGTGTGTGTGTGTGTGTGTGTGTGTGTGTGTGTGTGTGTGTGTGTGTGTGTGTGTATGCATGTGGGTGTGCCGGTGCGTGTATATGCTGCGGGTGTGATGCCTGCGCAAATGCCTTCAGGGGAGAGTGTGTGTGGGGGGGGGGGACTGGAGGTGTACATGTCTCAGGCCCCTTAGTACATGTGCACAGGATTAGAAAGATGGTCGGGAAATGACACACTCAGTTTTACTACAGGTAGTCAGCTAAGCATGCATGCATGTATACCTGTAAGTGTTGATTCAGCAGTGACATGCTGACTAACATACAGGTCTGTGCCCTCATTGCCCCCCTTAGGGTTCAGAATAGGCAGCAGACCGTTGTTAGTGCTGGTCGAGCCGGTGTCCAATGTTGCCGGCATGGTCAGCGACGCTCGGACGGCATATTTCTGAGCATGGACCTAATCACAGCATCAAGACCAACAATACTATGCATGGACATGTACATCATCCCGTCGATAGGCTTCTGCAGCCTTCGGACAATCCTTAAATAAAAATCGATCAATCGATCTGTAGTGTGATCAACCATCAAGAATACCAGTACCATGCATGAAAATATACAATGTACATCATCAAGACCAACAGTAGATCTACCATGCATGAAAATATACAATGTACATCATCAAGACCAACAGTAGATCTACCATGAATGAAAATATACAATGTACATCATCAAGACCAACAGTAGATCTACCATGCATGAAAATATACAATGTACATCTTCAAGACCAACAGTAGATCTACCATGCATGAAAATATACAACGTACATCTTCAAGACCAACAGTAGATCTACCATGCATGAAAATATACAACGTACATCTTCAAGACCAACAGTAGATCTACCATGCATGAAAATATACAATGTACATCATCAAGACCAACAGTAGATCTACCATGCATGAAAATATACAATGTACATCTTCAAGACCAACAGTAGATCTACCATGCATGAAAATATACAACGTACATCTTCAAGACCAACAGTAGATCTACCATGCATGAAAATATACAATGTACATCTTCAAGACCAACAGTAGATCTACCATGCATGAAAATATACAACGTACATCTTCAAGACCAACAGTAGATCTAGCATGCATGAAAATATACAATGTACATCTTCAAGAACAACAGTAGATCTACCATGCATGAAAATATACAATGTACATCTTCAAGACCAACAGTAGATCTACCATGCATGAAAATATACAACGTACATCTTCAAGACCAACAGTAGATCTACCATGCATGAAAATATACAACGTACATCTTCAAGAACAACAGTAGATCTAGCATGCATGAAAATATACAACGTACATCTTCAAGACCAACAGTAGATCTACCATGCATGAAAATATACAACGTACATCTTCAAGACCAACAGTAGATCTACCATGCATGAAAATATACAACGTACATCATCAAGACCAACAGTAGATCTACCATGCATGAAAATATACAACGTACATCTTCAAGACCAACAGTAGATCTACCATGCATGAAAATATACAACGTACATCTTCAAGAACAACAGTAGATCTACCATGCATGAAAATATACAACGTACATCTTCAAGACCAACAGTAGATCTACCATGCATGAAAATATACAACGTACATCTTCAAGACCAACAGTAGATCTACCATGCATGAAAATATACAACGTACATCTTCAAGACCAACAGTAGATCTACCATGCATGAAAATATACAATGTACATCTTCAAGACCAACAGTAGATCTACCATGCATGAAAATATACAATGTACATCTTCAAGACCAACAGTAGATCTACCATGCATGAAAATATACAATGTACATCTTCAAGAACAACAGTAGATCTACCATGCATGAAAATATACAACGTACATCTTCAAGAACAACAGTAGATCTACCATGCATGAAAATATACAACGTACATCTTCAAGACCAACAGTAGATCTACCATGCATGAAAATATACAACGTACATCTTCAAGACCAACAGTAGATCTACCATGCATGAAAATATACAATGTACATCTTCAAGACCAACAGTAGATCTACCATGCATGAAAATATACAACGTACATCTTCAAGACCAACAGTAGATCTACCATGCATGAAAATATACAATGTACATCATCAAGACCAACAGTAGATCTACCATGCATGAAAATATACAATGTACATCTTCAAGACCAACAGTAGATCTACCATGCATGAAAATATACAATGTACATCTTCAAGACCAACAGTAGATCTACCATGCATGAAAATATACAATGTACATCTTCAAGACCAACAGTAGATCTACCATGCATGAAAATATACAATGTACATCATCAAGACCAACAGTAGATCTACCATGCATGAAAATATACAATGTACATCTTCAAGACCAACAGTAGATCTACCATGCATGAAAATATACAACGTACATCTTCAAGACCAACAGTAGATCTACCATGCATGAAAATATACAATGTACATCATCAAGACCAACAGTAGATCTACCATGCATGAAAATATACAATGTACATCTTCAAGACCAACAGTAGATCTACCATGCATGAAAATATACAATGTACATCTTCAAGACCAACAGTAGATCTACCATGCATGAAAATATACAACGTACATCTTCAAGACCAACAGTAGATCTACCATGCATGAAAATATACAATGTACATCTTCAAGACCAACAGTAGATCTAGCATGCATGAAAATATACAACGTACATCTTCAAGACCAACAGTAGATCTAGCATGCATGAAAATATACAATGTACATCTTCAAGAACAACAGTAGATCTACCATGCATGAAAATATACAATGTACATCATCAAGACCAACAGTAGATCTACCATGCATGAAAATATACAACGTACATCTTCAAGACCAACAGTAGATCTACCATGCATGAAAATATACAACGTACATCTTCAAGAACAACAGTAGATCTACCATGCATGAAAATATACAACGTACATCTTCAAGACCAACAGTAGATCTACCATGCATGAAAATATACAACGTACATCTTCAAGACCAACAGTAGATCTAGCATGCATGAAAATATACAATGTACATCTTCAAGAACAACAGTAGATCTACCATGCATGAAAATATACAACGTACATCTTCAAGACCAACAGTAGATCTACCATGCATGAAAATATACAATGTACATCTTCAAGACCAACAGTAGATCTACCATGCATGAAAATATACAACGTACATCTTCAAGAACAACAGTAGATCTAGCATGCATGAAAATATACAACGTACATCTTCAAGACCAACAGTAGATCTACCATGCATGAAAATATACAACGTACATCTTCAAGACCAACAGTAGATCTACCATGCATGAAAATATACAACGTACATCATCAAGACCAACAGTAGATCTACCATGCATGAAAATATACAACGTACATCATCAAGACCAACAGTAGATCTACCATGCATGAAAATATACACTGTACATCTTCAAGACCAACAGTAGATCTACCATGCATGAAAATATACAACGTACATCTTCAAGAACAACAGTAGATCTACCATGCATGAAAATATACAACGTACATCTTCAAGACCAACAGTAGATCTACCATGCATGAAAATATACAACGTACATCTTCAAGACCAACAGTAGATCTACCATGCATGAAAATATACAACGTACATCTTCAAGACCAACAGTAGATCTACCATGCATGAAAATATACAATGTACATCTTCAAGACCAACAGTAGATCTACCATGCATGAAAATATACAATGTACATCTTCAAGACCAACAGTAGATCTACCATGCATGAAAATATACAATGTACATCTTCAAGACCAACAGTAGATCTACCATGCATGAAAATATACAACGTACATCATCAAGACCAACAGTAGATCTACCATGCATGAAAATATACAATGTACATCTTCAAGACCAACAGTAGATCTACCATGCATGAAAATATACAATGTACATCTTCAAGACCAACAGTAGATCTACCATGCATGAAAATATACAACGTACATCTTCAAGACCAACAGTAGATCTACCATGCATGAAAATATACAACGTACATCTTCAAGACCAACAGTAGATCTACCATGCATGAAAATATACAATGTACATCTTCAAGACCAACAGTAGATCTACCATGCATGAAAATATACAATGTACATCATCAAGACCAACAGTAGATCTACCATGCATGAAAATATACAATGTACATCTTAAAGACCAACAGTGCCATGCATGAACATAACACATCAAGGATATCATAACCATACCATGCACATACAGATACAGATCACTATGAGATTGAAGTACACGTGCTTCTCGTTCTGCAACATGCTGAGCAATTTTTCACTGCTTGTATACTTTGCAGAATTGTCACTGTGAAACCAGATAACGACTGTGGGGATCAACACCGATTTGCTCTACTGATGTACCTATTTACTGTGCCGATAACATATGACTGGATTAACTGATTGTCTGCCCCGGCAATACCCACTAGCAGATGCCAGACCCCATTACGATGAACACGTAGAAAACTCTGAATTCAGGCACAAATAGACGAGTTCAAGCCTCATGGTATTTGGGATCGGGATCTACTTCACCAAACATTCTGCCGTGTTTCACCTTTCCTGATTCTGTA